GAAATGCTGAAGAAACTGTTGGAGTTGAAGACCAATCCTACGACATCGGAAGCAAGAGAGACTATCAGAGGCCATGGTGTAGGAGGGAATCCGAACCTGTTTTGGGGGAGGAGAAATTCGGAAGTGGAGATCATTGAGGGAGATGACGACATGTTACCTCTAGAACCACTTTCTAGAGAAGAGATGAGTTTGGAAAATGACCGGAGATGTGCTGATTTCGTCGGGAGAAGGGAAGAATTTCACCGCCGGGGTGCTGATTTTGAAGGGAGGAGAGGGGAATACGATGAGGGGTTCGGGTATAATCGCCGGAGGGAAGATCGTGACAGTTGGGGAGCACATCCTCTTCGAAGAATGAGAGGTTATGGAGGATTCAGGGGAAACGGGGAAGACCCACGGGTGAGGAAGCTGAAGATGCCCATCTTTGAGGGTGAAGACGACCATGGCTGGATCTACAAGGTGGAGCGATACTTTGCTGTCAACGGGTTGATAGAGGAAGAGAAGCTGACAACGGCGGATTTGTGTTTGGAAGGAAAAGCCTTGGCATGGTATCAATGGCGTGACAGGAGGGAGCCCATCTAAAGCTGGAGAGAGTTAAAAGATTGCTTATTGGAGCGTTTCTGAGCCGATGGGGGAGTAGACTTCTATGAGCAATTCTTTGCATTGACTCAGGAGGGGACTGTGAAAAACTACCGGGACAAATTTGAGTACTTGGCTAGTAGATTGGATCACATTTCAGAGTCAGCCCTAGAAGGGAATTTTATTAAGGGGCTGAAACCGGAGATACAGACATCGGTCAGGGTGCTGAGTCGAGGAATCTTGGGAAGGCTATGGAGCTGACGCACTTGGTGGAAGATAAAAAGAAATCAGAAAGAGGGACTCGAGGAAACTATTCAGGGGGGTCATACAGGATGACTACTACTTTCTTACCATCAAATGGGGCAGTACCAGGGAGTCTGAAGGAAGTGCCAAAGGAGAAAACTGGAGGAGGGGGAAACAAGGGACAATTCAAAAAGCTGACAGATAAGGAGATGCAAGATAAGAGGACAAAGGGGTTGTGCTTTAGATGTGATGAGAAGTACATTCCGTGGCATAGGTGCAACGACCGAACTCTTCAGGTTCTCCTTGTCTGTGAAGATGAGGAAGACGAGGGAGGTGGGAGCAGATCTGAAGAGGAGGAGAATATGCACCTGGATGTGACAGAAGTCTCTCTGAACTCTGTAGTGAGATTCACTCCGAGTGACACTATGAAAGTGAAAGGAGAGATAGTTGACTGTTGATTGACAGTGGGGCAACTCGCAATTTCATTTCCAACCAGATCGTTGAGTTGTTGGGGATGGAGTTAGTGGATACAGGAGGCTATGGGGTGATGATGGACACGATAAAGGTGGAAATGGGTAGAGGAGTTTGTAAAGGGATAGTGTTGAAGATTCAGGGGATCCAGGTGAGGGAGGACTTCCTTCGCTTGAAATTGGGGAGTACTGACGTCATCCTAGGGATAAAGTGGCTGCAAATATTGGGGGAGACCAATATCAATTGGGGGACATTGAGGATGGAACTGGTGATGGGAGGAAGGAGAATGATTCAGGGTGATGCTGGGCTGACCAAGGTTGGGGTATTTTTCAAATCCATGATCAGATCCATACAGGAGGTGGGAGGTGGATATCTGGTGGAGCTGCAGTGCTTGGAGAGGGTGAGTGTGGGGGATGAGGGAGACATTCCACTGGTGGTGCAATCGCTCATACAACAGTTCAGGGAGATGTTCCAGCTACCTCAGGGCTTACCACCAACCAGAGAGCAGGAGCATGCAATCCTTTTGAAAGATGGGGTGTCACCAATTAGTGTCCGACCTTATCGCTACCCCTAGATTCAAAAAGATGAAATCGAGAAGTTGATCAGGGAGATGTTGGAGGCAGGTGTAGTCAGACCCAGCGTGAGTCCTTTATCTAGCCCTGTCTTACTAGTCAAAAAGAAGGATGAGAGTTGGAGGTTTTGCGTGGATTACAGGGCTTTGAACAAGGAGATAGTACCGGATAAGTTCCTATTCCGGTGATTGATGAGTTACTAGATGAGTTGCACGGAGCAGTAGTGTTTTCTTAGATGGATCTGAAGTCAGGCTACCACCAAATTAGAATGAAGGAGGATATTCGGAATACGGCCTTCATGACGCACGAGGGGCATTACAGGTTCTTGGTGATACCATTTGGGCTCACTATCGCCCATGCTACTTTTCAGTCCTTGATGAACAGAGTGTTCCGACAGCACCTTAGGAAGTTTGTGCTGGTCTTTTTTGATGACATTTTGGTGTACAACAAAACTGAGAAGGAGCACTTGGAGCATTTGAAGGAGATTCTTAAGATCCTACAAGATCATCATCTAAAAGCTAATCTAAAGAAGTGCAGTTTCGCCCAATTTAGGGTGAAATATTTGGGACATGTGATGTCTCCTGAGGGAGTGGCAGCCGACCAGTTCAAGATTGAGACAATGCAGAAATGGCCAATGCCTAGGAACATAAGGGAGTTGAGGAGTTTCCTAGGTCTGACTGGTTACTACAGGAGGTTTGTGAAGGGATACAGTACCATCGCATGGCCTTTGACTGAGCAATTGAAGAAGGACAAATTTTTGTGGGGAGAGGGGGCAACACATGCTTTTGAGAGATTGAAAAAAAGCCATGACGACGATTCCAGTGTTAGCACTTCCAGATTTCAGCCAGAATTTTATAGTGGAGATTGATGCATCAGGGTATGACTTGGGAGCAGTGTTGATGCAAGATCACAGACCCGTAGCTTATGTCAGTCAGGTGCTATCGACCAGGGCTCGATTGAAGTCAGTATATGAGAGAGAGCTGATGGCCATCGTCTTAGCCATTTAGAAATGACGCTTTTATCTTTTGGGAAGGCACTTCATTGTTCATACGGACTAGAGGAGTTTGAAATACTTATTGGAACAACGGATGGTGATCGAGGAACATCAAAGGTGGATGTCAAAACTTTTGGGCTATGACTTTGAGATCTAGTATCGACCAGGGGTGGAAAATAAGGTGTTCGACGCCTTATCCAGATGTGTCAGGGAACTCTAGGAATTAGCCGTGTCTGTTCCCCTGATTGTCGACTGGGGGGCCATCAAGGAAGAAAGCATGCTGAATGAAGAAATGAAAAAGATCAGGAAAGATCTAAGGAAAGACAAGAGTAGCCATCCTAGTTACTGTATTGATGGGGAGAGACTATTGTATCAAGGGAGGTTTGTGATGCCACGAACCTCCATATATATTCCCAACTTGTTGCAGGAGTTCCATGGCAGCGCAGTTGGAGGCCATTCAGGAGTTCATAAGACATACATGAGGCTAGCAGCTGAGCTCTACTGGAAGGGGATGCTTAAAGATGTTGAGGAGATGGTGGCGAGGTGTGAAGTGTGCTAGAGAAACAAATACATGGTCATGGCTCCAGGACGATTACTACAACCTTTGACACTTCCAAACAGAGTTTGGGAGGAAGTGTCCATGGATTTCATCGACGACTTACCAAGATCAGAAGGATTCACGGTCATCATAGTGGTGGTTGAAAGACTTAGCAAATATTCACACTTCATCCTCTTACGACATCCTTACACCGCAGTGTCAGTAGCAGCAACATTCATCAGGGAGGTCGTGAGACTGCATGGGATTCCTGAATCGATTGTGTCTGATCGTGACAAAGTGTTCCAAAGCCAATTTTGGAGGGAGCTGTTCAGGATGCAGGACACTGTCCTAAAAAGAAGCACCGCCTACCATCCACAGACAGAGTGACAAACTGAGGTGGTAAATAGAAGTTTGGAAATCTATTTGAGTTTTTTTGCTTTTGAAACACCGCGGTTGTGGGCAAAGTGGTTGCCGTGGGCTGAATATTGGTATAATACATCGTACCATTCTGCCTCTCATATGACTCTATTTAAAGTACTATATGGAAGGGACCCCCCACACCTATTACACTATGGGAGAGGAAGTACACCGATTTCTTCAGTGGAGCATTATCTGGAAGAAAGGGACAAGGTGCTAGAGGAGTTAAAGAAACATCTGCTGAGGGCGCAACAAATTATGAAGTAGGCGGACTCACACAGGAGGGACATGCAGTTTGAAGTGGGGGAGAAGGTGTTTTTGAAGATAAGGCCCTATAGGCAGAAATCAATGGCTAACAGGCGGAACAAGAAACTGGCTCCAAGGTTTTTTAGTCCTTATGAGATCTTGGGGAAGATTGGTGCTGTGGCGTAGCGTCTGAAGTTACCCGCCTCCGCTACCATACATTTGGTGTTCCATGTGACACAACTGAGGAGAGCTCTAGGAGAGCATGCAGTTAGTGCAGAGTTACCAGCATCAATGATGGAGTTGGAAGTGACTTTAGAACCCTTGGAGATTATAGGGGTAAGATCAGATAAAGAGGGCAATAAGGAAGTGCTGATTCGATGGAAGGATCTCCCTGATTTCGACGCGACTTGGGAACCATTTGAAAGTGTGAAAGATCAATTTCCTTTTTTTCACCTTGAGGACAAGATGAGTTTTTGGGAGGGGAGTAATGTTGCGTCTGCTCCCACGCTAGGAGGGAATTAAGATTATCTGGAATTTGAATGAGATATGAGATCTAGGGTTCTTTTGCTTTGGGCTCTTGGCGTTGCCGGAGATTTGGAGAGTTGTTATTCCTCTCGAATTGAAGAACAATTGTATCTTTGCTATTTTACTTCATCTTTTAGTGGAATACAAGTCTCTACTTGAGTTTTTTCTCTCAGATTTCCCCTGGATTGTACTGTTTTTCTGCTGTAAACAGCAGATTTCTGCTGTTTTCCTGCTGTGGACAGCAGTATTCTCGCTGTTTGATCACCGATTTGGGTTAAGGGTTGCTTGTGAACTCAAGTATTACCTTAGGGTTACTTGCGAACTCAAGTATTTCCTATCACATCACTCTTAAATTTTCAGTTGTATTATTTTTCTTAAAATACATAGCTTAATGATATGCATATTGGCTGTATTGCAGGAAGTGGGTGTCAATGTTAGAAGGCAACACTCTGATGAAGGTGCAGTGCTTCAACCAAGGCCAGCTGTTGTAACTGTTATGGGCCATGTTGATCATGGTAAGACTTCACTTTTAGATGCTTTGCGCCAAACATCTGTTGCGGCCAAGGAAGCTGGTGGAATCACCCAGCACCTTGGTGCGTTTGTTGTGGAGATGCCATCAGGAGCATCGATCACATTTCTTGATACTCCTGGGCACGCCGCATTTAGTGCCATGCGTGCAAGAGGTGCTGCTGTGACAGATATTGTTGTACTTGTTGTAGCAGCAGATGATGGCGTCATGCCACAGACACTGGAAGCAATGGCCCATGCCCAGGTGGCCAATGTTCCAATTGTAGTAGCTATAAATAAGTGTGATAAACCGTCAGCCGATCCCGAGCGGGTCAGAATCCAACTTGGTACTGAGGGATTACTGCTCGAGGACCTGGGAGGTGATGTTCAGGTCGTCCAGGTTTCTGCCAAAACCAAACTCGGATTGGATAAATTAGAAGAGGCTCTGCTACTTCAGGCTGAGATAATGGATTTGAAGGCGAGGATCGATGGTCCTTCCCAAGCTTATGTAGTAGAAGCAAGGCTTGACAGAGGTCGTGGACCTTTGGCTACAGCAATTGTAAAATCTGGGACCTTGGCATGCGGGCAATACATTGTTGTTGGATCAGAGTGGGGAAGAATACGGTCCATCAGGGATATGTTGGGGAGGGCAACTTCATCTGGAAGGCCCGCCATGCCAGTTGAGATTGAAGGATTGAAGGGGCTTCCAATGGCTGGTGATGATGTTGTGGTTGTGGATTCTGAGGAGAGAGCTAGGATGCTTAGCAATGGAAGGAAGAAGAAACTGGAGAAAGATAGACTTCTGAAGGCTAGTGAAGAGAGAATTGAAATTGAAGATACATCAGAAGAGACACCTTCAACTTCAAGGGTTGAGCTGCCTATGGTGGTAAAAGCTGATGTGCAAGGTACTGTGCAAGCAGTAACCGATGCGTTAAGAAGTCTAAATAGTGCCCAGGTACTTCACTGTGAAAATATTAGCTTGTCCAAGGACGTGTTGATACAAATTTGTAATGTAATGTATTTTCATAATTCTCAGAATTTTGCATGTTGACTAATTGATTTATTGCTTTTTTGGGTGACAAGCATCCAATTTCCTGCTTAGACTACATAGGAGAATTTATTCTTTGATTATTTGTTGAATTCCATGTTTCGAGTGTGGTAGTACTTAGCTGGATTATATTATATTTTACTTATTCGTATATTATGGTTGGCTTAATGAATCCTCTATTTTTTTTTTAAAGTATTCCATAAGATTTTCGTTCTACATTGAATGCCATTTTGCTCTCTGCTAGACATGTTATGTGGTAAACTTTAAAAAAAAAAAACTTTTAATCTAATCGTATTTTATGGGTGCATCTTCCACCTTTCATTGTGTAGATGCTGAAGTCAACTTAAGTCTATTTTTTTCTACTTTATCATTTATGAGTGCTTCCCTTGTCATTTAGTTTTTTAGTTTTACCGCCTAGTTTAAGTGTGCGATCCAATTTACTAAGTTGTTTCTTTCTATACAAATAAACCCCCTAAACCCTAAATCACATGGCTTATTAGAAATTTACGTTTGAAAATGTTTTAGTTTAAAAGCTTTATTTAAAATTTTCTTGATGCATATGATAGGAAAGATAATTCCAGTATTGCCATATTAAAATTTTTAGAAGCAATTGAAACAACACATAGTTATTCAGAATATCTGATACTTTACTGTCCATTCTGATTATATTTTCTACTCTAGGTTTTTGTAAATGTCCTCCATGTTGGCGTTGGGCCTATTTCTCAATCTGATGTTGATTTAGCTCAAGCTTGTGGTGCATCCATAGTTGGTTTCAATGTTCGCAGTCCCCCCAGTGGCATTACTTTGGCAGCAAATCAAGCTAGTATTAAGGTAAAGCATTCGAGTTAAATATTTTTCTGTCATTTTTTATTGCTCTTTTCCTTATTTTTTACCATCACTTATTGGATGTGTGTGCATGCTAAATTTAAAGTGTGAGGGTGGCGATGTGGGGTCTAAAGGAAGGTGAGTGTAATACTAGTTTGGGGATTGGCGTAGTGGAGGAGAGGATGATGGTAAAGAGGGATTTGGCTCCCATTCCCGTTGATGACTCATGTTGTTTGGGTTGTTCTAGAATAATTGGTGGGCACAAACTAGACATCTTCTTTCTTTATGATGTTATTTTTCATACTTTGAGTCACAAACTTTGGTGGGCACAAACTGGCATAGGAGTTGTCTTAAGTCAGGAGAATCGGCCAGTAGAGTTCTTCAGTAAAAATTGTGCGTAGCTCGTCAAAGGTGGATCGTCTATGAGCAGGAGCTATATGCCGTTGTAAGAGCCTTGAAGCAGTGGGAGTACTATTTATTGCACCAGACTTTGTCCTGTGCAGCGATCACAAGGCGTTGCAGTATATCAACAATCAAAAGCACGTCAATCGCATGCATGCCAGGTGAATTTTATTTTTGCAAAAAATTTTATTCATTTTAAAACTTAAAACAGGTGCCCAAAATGTTGTTGCGGATGCTCTCAGCCGGCGGTCAGCTCTCCTAGCTCAATTGCAGTTGCTTCTTAAGTTCGGCATGCTCCGTGGGGTTCATGCAATAGTGTGGCAGGTTCGGGAGGGAGGCTCTAGGGACGAAGTCTATGGCTTGCGGAATGTCTCTAAGAGGTGGTAACTGATCTAGAAGATCATCGGGAGAGACATCAGCATACTAAATGTGATAGGCTGCACTTCCTGAGGAATGGGCTTGTCAGATTCAGTGGGAATCTCACGGCCTACTAAGGTGTAAAGAGGGGCGCCTTGAGCAATCTCAGCAGTTAGAACCTTGGCGGTGACAAGGTTCACTCCTTTCTTAGATTTGACTGGCCTGGATTTCATGTCATCCGTAACCCGTGGCTGCGATGGCAAAAGCTTAATCTTTTTGCCCGCATGTTCGAATACGCAGGTGTTCGAACGCCCAAAAAATGTGGACATCGTTATCATAGATCCAGGGACGACCTAACAAGATTTGTCCAACATTCATCATCAACACATCGCACCAGACATTCTCCTTATAAGTGGCAAAGGAGATGGGCACGTGGCTTCGTTCATTCACCTCCAAGGTAGTGGAGTTGACCCACGCTATCTTATACGGGTTGGGGTGAGGAACGACAGACATACCTAACTAGGATACCATGATGGAGGAAACAGTATTGACGCATCTACCACTATCCACGATGACTTTGCAGTTTTTGTTTTTGATCTTGGTGTATGTGTGAAAAATCGAGGTCCTACCCCAGTCATCCGTGGGTGTCGGGTGGGATAGCGCGCATCTCACCACGCATATGAGAGAGGTATCCAATTTCTGAAGGTAATGGAGGACTACAGTGTCGTCATCCTCCTCGAAGTATTCACTTTCTTCCTCGACTTGGTGGATCTGATCAACCTCGGGCTCGAGATCGTCCTCAGTGATCTCCTCGATGATCGAGACTTTTTAAGGACTGGAGCACTGAGAAGCGATATGCCCATACCCCTGACATCGAAAGCACTTGGTCCCGGGACTGGACCGAGGGGCATTCGAGGTGGGAGGTTTGCTTCTAAATTCAGATCTAGGTGCATGTGGACTCGTGGGTGGTCGGGTCATGCTCCCAGGAGTGGGTCAGGTAGCAAGAGTGTGTGGGGTGGAACTATTGGCTGATATGTAGGAGGGTCTAGAGTCATGTGAACGACTCGGGTGTTGTGAACGGGTCTCCTCTAGATCAAACACTAAGCTACAGGCATTTTCCAGTGTAGTGACGCTCCGGCAAACAACTCATTGCGAAGATCCTCTCGCAACCCGGTACAAAAACATAGATAAGATTTGCACGGGGGTGGTAGAGGTCTCCCCTTTGCAATGAATCAAGAAGTCATCGAAAGAGGCGATGTACTCCTTCACTGGTTTGTTGCCTTGGGTCAGCCTATTCCACCTGTCCAATAGTCGGGGGAAGTACGACGAAGGCAAGTACTTCTGCTTGAGTTCCTGCTTCATGGACGACCAATCAACAATGGGGTAATCATTCCTAGCTTCCCTAAGGCTCTCTAAGTTGGCCCAAACTTGACTCGCCCTACCCGTGAGTTTCATCTCCGCAAAGCTAACCTTCCTAGCCTCAGATATGTCATACCACTTAAAGAAATTGTCCATATCCTTAACCCAGTCCAGGAAGAGCTGGGGATCGAGTGTGCCATCAAAGGTAGGAGCATCAACCTTAATATTTTTCATAAGTGGGGCATCAAGATCATGTCGTGGGTCATGTCCGTGGTAGGGTGCTCGATGATTGGCACGGTGTTGCCTCTCATCCAAATCTGGATCATGACGTGGGTCATGTCTGTGGTAGGGAGCTCGATGATTGGCACGATGTTGCCTCTCATCCGAGTAAGTCTCATCCCCATACATAGAAGGTGGTCTAGGTAGGGTGTAGGGAGTCGGGTTCTCTTTAGCTCACTCCAACGTGTCAAACCTCTTAGTGGTCTTCCTACAAAGTTCAGCTAGATCTGCTTGGTTTTCCTAAAGTTGCTGGCTAATATTGTTCATTTGACCTACCAACAAGTCTAAGGTCCTTCCTAGTTGTTCTGGGTCCATTGGAAGTTGCTACGGGACTCCTAACAAGACTAGGATGTAAAGGGCAGCAATTAATATGAGTAAAACACAAAAATGTGATGCAAAATGATAGTAGAAACAAACAGGGCAGCAACCTAATAGTCTTCTAAATGACAACAGTGCAAGGAAGACATGCAGAAAAGGAAACTATCAGGAATCCTAAAACATGCAAGAGCATACCATGCTCTGATACCAGATGATGTAGGACTAAATATGAAATGCTTTAATTCATATGGAATTTGCACAACTCTTGATTAGAATAATTGTAGAACAATACTGGTAGCAGTTCAAAATAACAAAATTAACAAATGAGGGGTCACACCCGCTTAGGCTAAATCACGTGGCAAGAGATTCGAAGATTCCAAAATAAAATAGAAAACAACACAATGGCAAGTAGTAGTTTCAAGAAAATCTCTAATCTAACAATAAGAGCTAGTAAGCATAAAGGTGCACTCAAACCCTACGTTTACTAAGCTTTAGCATGAGCAGTAAAGAGTTGTCCGTTGTGACTGCAATCAAAGCCCAGAGAAGTTAGATTTAAAGAGATATAATGAAAGGAGAAAAGAGAACCTTTCGTTAAGGAGTGATGGAGATCCTCCACTCAACGCCTTCGAAATACTCGTCGATTGCTTCCACTAAGGTGTCCAGAATACGCTCCGACCTCCAAGTAGTCTTTGACGGTATGATCAATGCTTGGATTCACGTCGAAGAAAGTTGATCGTAGGATGTCGGTGAAGCCGTATTCGTCCCAAGTTAAACCGTACTCAGTTTCTGGATCCGCCATTCATAGGCGCTAGGAGATGATTCTTCCGAGGGATGCGTCTTCTTCACTATTGGGGAGAGAAAGAAGTTTCTCGTCCACGGGAACGAGAGGCGTAGCGAAGAACGTGTCCCTGTCAAAATCTGAAATTAAATTTCAGATTTTGAGAGTCAAAGAAAAGACCCTAAGAACAAGAATCCAATACCTAAGTCTCGTAGAGAATTAAGTGGAGAGTGAGGGAGTTGAGAGAGAGGGGCGGCTAGAGAGAATAGGGAGGAAGGGGGCGGCGGGATGAGGGGGAAGGAGGAATTGATTTCCTAAATCAATTAATTCGTTTAGGAAATAATTTGGAGGAATTATGGGAGTTGAAAATTTCGGCCAAGTGGATGGTGGGAGCAATTAGAATTGTTTCCAAGTGGAGGTTAGATGATTAGGAAATAAATCCTAATTGACTTTAATAGGGGGGCTGGTGGCAAGATGGGCTTGGGAGGGATTTAATGCAAGCAATTGAGGTTTCTTAAATTAGATTTTGATTTAGGAAAGGTTTATTTGAAATCCAATTGTATTTGAATTTCAAATTAAATCCCAAAATGAATACTTTTCTAAAATAGATGGATGATTTTAGGAAAGATTTTTGAATTCAAATTTAAAGGAATTGAAATTCAAATCATCCCAAATTAAATCACATCCAATTAGGAAACTCAAGAGGACAAAGGGGCAATGGAGGGAGGAGATGGGACGGGCCGGTTGGCGGCTAGGGGATTGGGGCCGACAGCCTAGGTGCTTGGGTAGGGGATTGGGCCATGAGTTTTGAGTGGGGATGAGGGCTCGGGTGAGGAGAAGGATTGGCCGGTGGTGGAGGTAAGGGAAGGGAGGGAAATAGGAGGAGAACCAAGAGCCACCGGTGGTGACTGTTGGGTATGACGGGTGGCCTATCCTAGGCTCCACCAAGCTCTATTACTCTCTCTCTCAAGCTCTCACATAAGCTTCAAGAACACAAGTGCAGGAAATTTTTTTTAATAATTCATTACTTCAAACCATAAGGCATGCGGTGCATCATAATTGCTATCCTCCTCTAGTTCATTTTATCACTTAGTGCTCATAGCTTTTATGTTAGGAAATACTAGTTCCACTCTCTTACTTACTATGTACAGTTCTATAGTACAGGTAGGGTTGTCAATTCCTGACCCGACCCGCTAACCCGACCTGAACCCGACCCGAAAAATTCGGGTTCGGGTTTAAGGATTTGACCCGTTTATATATTCGGATCGGGTTTGGGTCAAACCGTCAACCCGCGAGTCGACCCGAATAACCCGCGAAGCATATAACGCGTTTACTCGTTTTAATAAAATCCGTGGCCGAGCCCGCGAGTTCGAGATTTGAGACGGTTCTAGGGTTTCATTTCTCGGTTTCTCCTCGCTCTCACGCTCTGGCATTGGGGTGGAGCCGTGGAGGCGTGGAATCGAGGAGGACTTCTTCTGATCTTCTGAAACATCTGGCTTCAGAATTCTTCCTT